CCCCAAAACCCCAAAACCCCAAAACCCCAAAACCCCTAAATTCCCTTGGGAATTAGACAAGTTTTAAAACTAAATAAAATATGTACAAATACAGCTTTCTAAAGAAGGATAAACTCACTGAGGAAGCAAAACAAGCCTGTGTCATCTTGCAGATAGACCCGGCTCTTCTGCAGGCAAAGCCTGAAGAAGCCTTCCTAAAGGAAGGCGTTTCAAAGAAGGTTGCGGAGACAAGACACTATCATTATCAGATGAAAAGGAAACAATTTCTTGATGAGATCAGTGATTATTTAAGAGACCTCTCTAATAAAGGCAACAGTAAAGGTTTCATGAGGAGGTGAGGTTAAAGGTGTTAGTTATAGCAAGTTTGTAAGTCATGAAATTAAGAAAGCCAAAATTAGTAGCCAGAGAAGCTCCCCCTACTTCTCAACTGTAAAACCTGATATTCCGTTAAGAGAACCTCTTGGAGAAGAAAGTAGGAGGAAGAGACAGTTGGCTAAAAATATACTTGATCAAGGTACTTTTACTTATAAGGCAGTATGGATGCCTTTTGAATTGCTATATTTCAATAAGTAGTCTAACTTAATCTTAGAGTTAAAATAAGCTAGTGACTAAAAATAAAAAGGATCAAGAGGATAGAATTAACAGAACCATGAAATACGGCTCTCCGAAAAGGAAGACCAAGTGGAAATTAGAAGATAATCAGGAGAAAATCCTTAAACAGAAAGAGAAGCGCATGCAAGCCAAGATTCGCGCTGAGCAAGAAGCCAAGAGACGTGAGAGCACCATCCTAAATAACTTCAAAAAGCATGAGAAGAGACGTATTGAGTCTTTGAAGAAGATCAATAATTCTATCTCTCAGCAGCATGAAGTCTACAAAAATGATCAAAGGCATTATCTTGAAATCAGGAATATGTCAGTCTCCAACAAATTAGAGGAAGAAAAATAATGTACAAACAGCTCTGGAAAAATTTGATAGAAAAATGAAATAAATTTGAACAGAATAAGCTCAAGTACCAACAAAATCAGCTGAAGGATCGACACAGGAGGAACTTGATCTCTCCAAATGTTCATATGAACTCTGCCATTCAGAGAGTTCCAAATCTCACTCAGAAAGGAGATACCAATGGGGATGAGATCACTCAGCGAAAGAAATTAGAGCAATCATTTAAGAATCAAATCATGCATAAGAAAAAGCGAGATAGACATTTCTTAGAAATCAGACGTGCTCAACAAGAACGACTTGCTAAAGAGCATGAGAGGTTTAAGGTCAATATAAAGCAGAGGGATATAGATCTCCAACATCGTAACCAAATGCTGATGAAGCGGATAAGGGAGAAATCAAGCATGATCTCTCAAGAACTGCAAGAAGAGCAAGAACTTAAACGAGAGAATCAAAGATTACGAAAGAAAAACCTTGTGTTGAACAAGAGAAGGACTAAAGCCCTTGAGTCAAATTACAAAGACCAGCTGATAGATCATCTTCTTGAAAAGAAGGATAGAGCTGTGCGAGCCAGAGAAAGGAGCCAGACTGCAGGTTTTTTCAACTCTTTGAGCACTGGAGTTCTTTAGTCTTTAATTACATTCAATTTTAAATTAGCTTAAGGGGTTTTGGGGTTTTGGGGTTTTGGGGTTTTGGGG